ATAGGAGCTTTCACTTTGGAGCAACAGAGGATAAGGACATTGGGGTGCGTGGCAGTGGATGGTCAGGGCAGGGGTGTGTGTTGGGGGATGCAGAGGAAGGAGGGAATGATGTACACAGCAATTGCCTAATTCAGGGGAAAATGGAAAGGCCTATTGGTAGCCATGGCACCAGTCAGCTGACATGGGAATGCCAGATGTTTGCAGGAGGAGAATAAATTGAAGGACTAGTAGTTAATGCATTTGGGTTCTGGAATTCATGGGAAACACATTTTGTAGCAGAGAAACAGCAGGATGCAGGCAGGAGATAAGGAATTAAGAAACCTAGGCTCAATTTCACATGAAACTCAGGCTGGCCTCATAAACTCTCAAGCTAGGACATAGGTTTCCAAGCCATAAAATGGGGGGAAACAGACCTTATTTAGAAGGGAATCCAAACATTCCCTGTGATAATGCTCCTTTAGAAGGCATGTATAATTATGGACTCACCATGTTGTACATAAACACCAGAATGCTATTAAAACAGGGCAAACTCGGAAATACAGAGTGTCCCAAAAGTCAGCCCTACTGTTGCCATCCAAAGGGAAAATGAGAAATTGTGGCAGATGTACCTTTATTTACAAAATATTCATTATAGATTTTTAAAAAATATTTATAAAATATTCTCTATGTGTTGGCCACTTCTTCGTAAACTTTTGTAATGAGTGTTTTGTAAATGAAGGTATATTCAGCTACAATTTCCCATTTTTTTCTGTGTATGGTGACTTTATGGGAAGCTTTTGGAACACCCTGTAGTATTAAGGAGGTTCAGAACAAAGCAAACAGCCCCCTCCTCTTGGCCTCAGTGTCAGACAAACACACATTGATGGAGTATAATGCAGAGGTAGCGCTGAAATCCAGTCCCTGGGGAGGGGGGTGGAAGCGAAGGGATAGAAATGTCAAACTGAAATGTTTTGTTCAATTAAATGGTAGGGGAAAAATACCAGGAAAAAAAACAACTCAAAGCAATGGCTCTTCCCAATAATAAAATGTACCCCTAAAAAGAAAACCTAAAGTCAAATAGCAAATCCAAATCTAAATGACCAGAAGGGGGGGGGGCGGCTTTATTAACACTGTGAGGCATGTTACTTTTTAAAGTAGTCCTTCTCTTAAATAGGCTAAAGTTTAGCCATTCACAGGCTAGTGAGCTCGGGCAAGTCAATTATCAGTTTATTTGTCACATACAGACAATACTACAGCTCCCAAGAGAAGATGTTTTAGAAAGTAAAAAGCAGTGCACCAACATTAGGTAAGGGGTTTTAGTAGGCAGGGCACACCTTGGAGAAATTAGCTTGATATGGCTTCAGCCAGAAAGGGATGGATTGCAGTTTTGCAGGAGTGGTAGGTGTTGTGTAAATGTCCCAGTCAGTTCAAGAAGCCTTTGGCAAAGGAAAAGGACACATTGCCCAGCAAGCTATGTGCTTCATGTCTACCCAAGACAGGAGGTGGGCCTGCCAAGGGCGGCAGCATATCTCTGGGGTGATCCAATGTTGTTCCCCTCCCAGCTCGAGAGGAGCAGCTTGAAATTCAAATGGGGCCCTTTGCTCAGCTAAGTAAAACAGTCTCAAATCTTTCTGACATCTGCACAAAAGGGGTACTGAGGGGCTGTCCTGTAGGGTCAATAGTGCTGGGGCGAGTTTAAATAATTCCGCTTGGCTCTGGGAACACAGCGGGGAAAGGAGGATGACTAAACAGGACCTGGCAGTGAGGGTGGCTTCAAGAATCCATGTTCACAGAGATTGTCCCATGAGCACTGGCCTTGTCTATTTGGGAAATAGGACATTCTTGCCCTTGACTCGTGAAATATAGCTTGGTCTAATTCAGTAACCTTGACAAACAGTCTTAGAAACTTCATACTTCATAAATAAACTTTGAGGAACATGTTTAACTGTGTGGAGTCTGTCTGTATCTTTCAAATATTGAAGAAAAAAATCTGTGCAGTGATGTTCTATTTTACTCTATCTTTTACCCTTTCAACCACCCAGCTGTTTTCAAAAGAGAAGCCAGACTAAGGCTCCAGATGTTTGGAACCCAAACAAGGACTCCTCATAAAGTAAATCCACTCTGCCCTCCGCCTTCAAAGATCAAAATTTCAGCCAGGGGTTAAACAATGAGGTCATCATAGGCATGCCTGCCTGGTATAGGACTGACTTTAGTTCAGATATCTATTTTACTTTTAAGGGCTCCTCAACCCAGCAGTCTAAAGCTTCTTCTCAGTTCCCTGATTACTGAGCCTAATTGCTTCCCACCCCTCCACAACCCAGAGGTTTAACCCCTTTGTGTCAAGCTTAACATCTCATCTGCTTCCACCTGAGTCATTTTTATTTGCAATATCTTTGCAGTAGTAAAGTAATATAACATAGAATCATCAGGTAGAACGGTATCCAGGAAATTCACAGAAGTGCAAATACAAACTTCCAGTGAATATGTGAAAAGATGCTTAAACTCCCATGTAGCCAGAGAATCAGGATGATTTTCAGTCATCATATTAGTCAAAATTTCAAGTGTTGGCAAGGGTGTAGAAATATGAGCACTCCAATACAAGGATTATGTGAGTATAAATTGGAAGATACTCAGTAGGGTAATTCAGCCATAGGTTTGAAAGTTAAAAATGTCTATTACCCTTGTATCTGATCATTTTGATTGTTAATATCTATTCTAAAAATGAGCAAAAGAAATCCTGCTCAAAGACTTCTACTGTGGCACTGCCAGTTTATAGAACGATGAAATTTGGAAACAATCTAAGTGTCCATCAAAAAGAAATGGCTGATACAAAGAAAGATGGAGACTTTCCATCTTTTGTATTAACCTGGATGGAGCTGGAAAACATTCTCCTTAGTAAAATAGCACAAGAATTGAAAAGCAAGTATGCAATGTATTCAATACTAATATGAAGCCAGTAGATGAACTGATACAGGCCCACACAAGAGAAAAACTCAATTTAATTCAGGTTGGGGGGAGGAAAGACAGAGGAGGAGGAGGGAAGGAGAGGGGATTGGTGTGCTCTCACCTAATGGGCACAATGGAAGGGTATATGGCACACCTCCTGGGTGAGTGGCACAACTACAACAGGGACCTTACCTAACAAATGCAAACATTGTAAACTAATTGTACCTGCATATTAATCTGAAATAATAAAAATAAAATAAAAGTTAAAAAAAAGGGAATGGTTGAATTAAACCATGGAGTAGAGAAAAAGATCTTAAGGACATACTAACTTTTACAAAAGGACCCAGAATATATATCTATGATTCTATCTTAGAAAATAAAACTAGACCCTGAGACTATTTTTATAGGTGTTTGTATATGTCTGATTAAGCACAAAGACAAGAAAGACAACAGTGGTACTGAGAGAGCACCGAGGGAGACTCTTGCTTTGTTTGTACTCCTTGCACATTATTTAAGAATGCATTCATATATTTATTGTAGAATTATGTTTTCCTGAAACATTTCAGAGGGGAGAGCATGGGCCTTGGTAGCTTCAGTGAACATGGCTTCCTTCGGAGGCAGCAGTGGGCAAGTGGGTGAAGCAAATAGGTAAGAAATCAAAGGACTCAGTTAACAGCCTAGAATCTGTCATCAATTTGCTATGTGATCCTGAGAAGTAATTTTCCTTCTGAGTCTGTTTCCTCTGTACAATCAATGGATAAGATGAGAAGCTCACTAAGACCCCTTTCCTTTCTGATATTTTATGATTCCAAGTCTGTGTCTTTAATGTATACTGTGTATGGCCCCTTTTTAATGAAGAAATGCCTTTTTATTCTCTTCCTTCAAATCCTTGCATAGTTTGACATTTCACTTTACTGCAAATGTAAGATAATGATAGAGAAGGTGGAGCGGTCACTGTGTTCCTTGTTTGCCTATGTTTTTAAAGGTTTAGTTGACCTATTTATGCTATTACCTTTCTTTGACACTTTTCAGCTTACTTGAGTGTGATGATGAGAGTTCAAACATAATGCTGGAAGTTGGAAGATCTGAATTCTTACAAGGTGGCCATAAATTCTGGAAACATACACACACTTAACGCACACACACACACACACACGCCGATTTAGCATTTCTAATCCTCAAATCTGAAACCTAAAATGGTCCAACGAGCATTTACTTTTAGTGTTATATCAGCACTCAGAAAGTTTTGGATTTTGGAACATTTTAGATCTCAGATTTGGGGATTAGGCATGCTCAACCTGTACACATGTAGGTGTATGTATGTATTCATATGTATTTTTTTTGGTAGATCAGCCCCCTCTGAATGCTTTTTCCTGGGTTGTACCAAAGATGCAGGTTTATTCAGTGAAAATCAGAGATAAAAATCATCTGGGGGCTATGCATATACAGAGATTGATAGAAATGCTGTGAAGATGCACTGTGTTCATTGCAGTTTGCATAACAATTAAGTGCAATAAGACATTGCATGTGTTACAACGTTTTAAAACATAACTTATGCTTCACATAATATCTATAAACCATTCTTTATGTATAGTTGCCTCTATTTCTGGATTTTATGGCTACTCTGTACTCTTTATTCTATCACTAATAAACAGAGTGATTATTGGATAACTCACATTCCCAGTCTGTAGGTAATGATTAGACCACCTGTTCTCCAGAGTGGTAAGGAAGAATCAAGTGGGTATAAATGAATTATGAAAATTTACACAAATCAGCAAACATCATCACAATCTGGTTCTATACAACCTAATTGGCTTTTGGAAGTACTCCAGATGAAATTCTGAGGAAACCTGGGCATTATGTTAAGGAATGAAACCTCTTCGTGTTTGCTCAGAGACTCTGACCAGTATAGTTCTGCCTATCACTAGTTAGCAAAGCTGCTTCCAGTTGATCCTCTTCACTTTGCCTGTTCCATGAGGTCATAAAAGTAAATTCTAAGCAATTTAATTCTAAAGACAACAGATAGCAGCTTCCCTGTGACTATCTGTCTTTCAGTTATGAAATAAGCAACTTACTCTTGATCCTTTCTCAGGAAAGCACTTACAGCCCCCACTGCAGTCTTGGCCTCCACATAGCTTTCCATAAGACTTCTTCTCTCCCTATTGAAAAAAAAAAGGAGAAAGTTACTAAACCATGTGAGCCAAGAAGCAGTGTTGCTCCTTGGGACCCTTAACTATACACCTCCCACCAAGTAAATTTAGAGTAGTTTAATTATCTTATCTGATGGTGTCACGAGTCAAATGAAATAAAAGATAAACTGAAGCTAGTATCCTTTTAGGTCAGGTTGATACTTCACCAGATAGCCTGTCTGGCAGCTAGTTTGGAAACTGTGATTTAGAAACCTCCACACTAGTAGAAATTCCAGTCACAAAACACAAGAGAACTGCTTGTATCGAAGCTGGAAGGAAACCCTAGACATATATATTCCTGTGAGAAAGCAGGTGTCCAGTGACTTAATGGATTTGTACTCATTGAGAAAAACAGTAGTTGTAGCAGAGAACTTGAGAGAAAGCTGAGGGCCAGAAAGGTAGTGACAGATGAAATGGCCACTGTGTAGTCTACTCTTAGAATTGGTTTCCTCAGGCTCCATTTTCTTTCTTTGTTTCTTTTTTTTTTTTTTTTTTGGTTGCAGTTTGGCCGGGGCCAGATTTGAACCCACGACCTTCGGTATATGGGGCCTGCGCCCTACTCACTGAGCCACAGGCACCACCCCTCAGGCTCCATTTTTGACACACCATTCAAACCTTACAGTGATGCCCTCATGCCCAGTCAGATCTGAATTCCTCAGGCAGTACGGCACCGTTCACCCCAAACTCTCCCACTTCATTTTTCCCTCTTCTCTGCTTTATGATGATGATGAGGAGGATGGTGATGATGATTACGATTACTAGAGGAATCTCTGCAAGGCTTGCACATGACCTCACGTGGGCTGGTCCTCACCAATCTCACCTCCTCACACTGTCTCTGGGTCACGCTGCCTCAGTCACACAGGTGGGCTTTCATTCTTTTTTCAGAAAACATCCAGCATGTTTCTCCCTAGCAGTTACTTCCTCCTCAAATGTTCCTCGCCTAGAAATTTTTTACTGGCAGCCTCTTTTAATCATCTAGGTCTCAGTTCAATTGTTCATTCTCAGAGAGGCCATCCCTGACTATTCAGACTAAGGTAGTCCCCAGCTACTTTCAATGATATCACTCTGTTATATTTTCATCTTTAGACATTCTGTCTTCTCCCACTAGACTACAAGCTCCCCATCTGTCTTCTCCAATATTGTATCCCAAATCTCTATAACCATGGATGGCACTCAAAGAATGTTTGATGACCACATGAACGGGGCTAGGATTTGGACCCAGGTCTAACTCCAAAGCCTGGACCTTAACCCTTATATACCATAGTGTTTTCTAAGTCCTCTGTCTACCAGAAACTAAATATGAGGACCTAAAAACAAAGAAAACTGCTATTCTGACCCTATCCACCTTGGGGAAAAAGTAAAACATAAATTCTAACTATTATCTGTAACAAGAACTTTATCTCTGGGATGGATTTAGTATCATTCAACTTTTTTTGTTTAATGCTGGCTGTTTTTTCCAAAGAAGAAAGGCATATTTATGAGTCTGCCTCACACTTAATCATTCTTGTCTCTGTGTACTGTGGGCCTTTTCCTAATTCCTGGGGAACATTGTGAATTTCTCAAATGGTCTCTTATCTCTTTAGATTCCCACAACACTTTATCATTGCAACACCTCGGTAATAAGGTAGTGATGGCAGAGCTAAGACAAAATGTTGCTATTTTAGACTCCAAACACCTTCCTTATATGAGATATTTTATCTCTCTTATACGCCTTTGACATGGTAAGTGCTATTGTACACTTTCCAGTTTGCCTTCCATTTTATGGCATGGAGGACAGGCCAGTTTTCATCAGGGTTAGATCAAGAAGTGGTCTGGGAGGAGGAGACTGGAGCCCGGCAAAGACTAGAGAACAGGGAGAGCAGCACTGAATTTAATCTTCACCTATGCGGTCGCCTTGTCTAATGTTGAGTCCTATATTTCTTGGTATTGTGGATAATTTAGTTTTGCTTCTGCATCCATTTCTATATTTTCCAAGCAGTTTCCAATGAGCATAAGAAAAAAATTATATGTGTTATTAAATTGTAAAAGTCACCCTTTGAAAAGAGAATTCAACAGGTGTTTCCAAAGTTGAAGTTGCATCTATTTGCAGCTATGGCCTACTTCCAAACAGTGTCTGTTTGGGAGTCCCATAAAATCGGTCTATTGTAGAGTAAAAGTTGCCAGGTCTCTAGCACTCAGCAAGGGGCCAGACGAGACAGGAAAATAATTTTCAATAAAAGGAGCTGAGCAAAAATGTAAGGAGTAGAAGCTAAGGTTTCTCTTTTTTGAACTTCAAAATATTAAGGATCAAAGAGATGTAAAGAAACTAAGATTTCTTAGGAACTAGCCAGGACAAGGAAGCAATGACACCCAGCTAACAGACAGGAAGCCATCACTATCCTCTGTCACCGAGGAAAGTAACCAGAGAAGCCCTATTGGCCACAAGGCAATTTCCTGTAATGCCAGCCCTGGCAGTTTCCCCAGGAGTCTTCAATTACAGTGAGGTGGGAGGGGTAAAGGAGCAGCTTCCAGGGAACGTGACCAGACCAGGTTCTGAGGAAGCCTCTGCCTATCCTGGCTTGTCTGGGGCCACTCCACTCCTGTTTGACCAGGCCATGTTGCTGGTATCATTCTCACCTTGGAATGCTCTCCCCTTCCTCTGAAAACACAACCCTTCTTATACTCCCCCCAAATTAAAACTGGAAAGCCTTTGGGAGATTATCTAATACAGTCATTCTTAACTTGATCAGGGCAGCACTGATTATTTTTAATTGTAATTATGTATTATTCTGTCTTGCTTTCCTAAGAAGAATTTCACAGGAATAAGCTATAATAAAAATGTAAGCAAAAATTTTAAAAGTACATATTATGCTCTAACTGTATTGCCAAGAAAAAAAAAGAAAAGGAAAGTCATTTATAAGAAAACAATATGTACTTCAATATGTGAAAGCCTCCATGGCTATGTTAATAAATGTAATGAAGTATTAGTCAGAGGCTAATGGCTCTACACAGAATCATTATGACCAGGACAGCCTGCTGACACAGAATGACAATGGGATGTGGCATTGGTGACTCAAAAACCATGAATGCTGTTGCTATTAGGACACTAATTCTCTGAAATGGTAAATAATTAATGGTCACTTTGGGGGACAAAAAAGTACAATCTTCACTTTATTTACTTGGCAGTTCTAATCAGTAATAATAAAACCATGAAAAAATTCATTTCCATATGGAAAATGTGGTTATGTTCTAGACTCAGGTAATTATAAACAGTTTTCACTTTCATCAATACCCAGAAGTCTTTGAAATGTAGGGCAAGATGCAGGACAATTCTTTGTAGTACAGTGTAGCCATAAAGTTCATGTGCAATTTAAAACAGTTGTCTATTTTAAACACAGTTGTCTATTTTAGACAACTATTTTAAATTGCACATGAACTTTATAGCTACCCTATATATAGTACATCTATCATTTCTGCCCACCACCACTTAGTAAGGGCCTCCTCCCCATCATTTGACAACCAAAAATGGCCTCACAGTTTCCCAAATACCTCCTAGGGAATGCTTCTGTTAAGAATCTCTGGCCTAATCCAAATCTCCCCTTTTATAGATGAGAACACTGAAGGAAATTGCTTTGCCCTGGGTCACAGTGCTGGCAAATGGATTCTAGCACTTCTGTCCATAATGCCATATTCTTCCTACTATATCATACTTCTCAAGGTCAAGTCTAAGTTTCATTTCTTCCATAAGTACTCCAGTTTCAGTGAAAAGCTGCAGCATTCACTGGGCAAGTGTCACATGTTGCTACGACACAATCGTTGCAATGTTTCTTAGGTTGCACGGCTGAGAATCTTGTTTTCTCATCCAGACAGTAATGTCCATATGGGAAAGGTCAAACTATTTTACCTCTTTGTATATCCCCAGAATGTTAAAGAGGTAAACCTATGTTCTAACTATTACCTGAGGCAGTATACCTTAGTTAAGAGTATAAGTTCTGGCAATAGTCTATACAGGCTTAAACCCCAGATCTGATATTTCTGAGTTGGATGTTGCTAGCCAAGTGATTTTATCTCTCTGATCCCTAATTTTCTTATCTGTAAAATGGGGATGGCAATAGTATCTACTGTATAGGGTTTGATTGGAAGATTCAATAAAATAAAGCATAGTGTCTGACTCACAGGATGCACTAAATGTTATCTATTATTACTAAATTAACAGCCGCTAGGCCAGACTACCGTAGTCTCCGTGACACTCTGTTCCCTCTCTGGATCTGATTTTCAAGTGATGTGCACGTGTATGGCCATACCAGTCTGTCTATGGCTGATGTTCACCCTGCTTAGTTAGGACGTTCATTTGGGTTTGTTGGTATCTGTATATAACCTATCGTTACATATTTTAAATATCATCTCTATCCCACACACCCATCCCTTTGCAGGTGCTGGTTCCTTTGTCTAAAATGCCTTCCTGACCCCTTTTCCCACTTACCACAAACCCAACTTCTATTCATTCTTTAAAACCCTGCTCAAACATCATGCTCATGGTGAAGACACCCCCAAACTCTGCCTCTCTCCCAGCTATTTCAGGCAGAATGTCCTACTCTCTCCTCTTTGCTATATGTTACTCCATCTATTTGGTTCTAATATCAGACCGGAATCAGGGCTATGTCTTTTTCTTCTCTGCAGCCCTGTCACAAGCAGGCCCTCAATGGAGGGCTGTGAAATAACCGCTCTCAGAACAGTGGAGTTACACATGTTAAAGATCAGCATCACCTGGAATTCTCCCTCTCCCTTGGGTTTCCTGAAATAAAGAACTACATCATAATGTCCCTACCACCAGCCAATATGCTTTTCCAGGTAACATCAGTGCCCACTGGCATAGGTAGTGGCAGGGATGACAATGACGCAAAAGGTAACCCAGAAAGAGAGATAGGATGTAAGAGAGCTTAGCTAGAATGATCGAACAGCTTACAAAAATGAGTTATGTCTGTGAGGAA